CCGCTCGGCAACACACCCAGCAGCAGCTTCTGGCCAAGCAAGTAAAGGCCTTTCCAGCTTCAGCTGCCCTGGCCCCAGCCACACCAGCTCTGCAACCCATCCACATTCAGCAGCCAGCCACAGCCTCTGCCACCTCCATCACAACTGTCCAGCACGCCATCCTCCAGCACCATGCTGCAGCAGCTGCTGCCGCCATTGGCATTCACCCCCACCCTCATCCCCAGCCACTTGCCCAGGTGCATCACATTCCCCAGCCCCATCTGACTCCCATTTCCTTGTCTCACCTCACTCACTCAATTATCCCTGGCCATCCTGCCACCTTTCTCGCTAGCCATCCCATCCACATCATTCCCGCCTCTGCCATCCATCCTGGGCCCTTTACTTTCCACCCTGTCCCACATGCTGCCCTTTACCCTACGCTCCTTGCTCCACGGCCTGCTGCAGCAGCTGCCACTGCCCTCCACCTTCACCCACTACTTCACCCCATCTTCTCAGGTCAGGACCTGCAGCACCCCCCGAGCCATGGCACATGAGTTGGCAGGTGGGAGCCTAGGTAGTGCCAGGGAAGGTGACCTATAAGTCTTCCCTTGGGGGTGTTGAGCCATTAATACCAGCAAGTAGAAGCTGGGATGGGCAGTGTCTGACAGCCAAAGAATTGAGTTTTGGCTTGCAGGGGTGGGTTTAGATTTGAGGTTTGCTTTGGGTTTACTATCAGGGATTTTTTTTTTTTTTCTTCTCCTTATTTTTCCCCTCTCCTGTGTTTGTAAGCTAGGGAACACCAATAAGTGCTACCCACCCCTCTGCAGCAACATCTCTAAACCGTCATGTTTAAATAGCCCCCTTCTCACAGTACTTTTTAGTCCTTCACCCTTCTATAAATTTAAAAACGTTTTTCTCCTCTCTGGCTGGCTGGTTGTCACCAAAGCACTTGTTGAGGACCCATCTGGTCCTGCCTTCTCAGTGCCACAAGGAAGGCCAAGCCGTCTTTCTAGTAGTGATACCACCACTTTGGGGCAGTATCTTTGACCAATTCATTGGTGACCTTATGTTATCCCAGGTGAGGTTGAAAGGGAGTCTGGCCTGGAACCAGGTACAACTCAGGCTGCAATTAGATCCATTTCCCACCCAAACAGAGCCACACATTTGGCATTGTCCTTGTATCCCTCATCCCAGAAGAGGCATCTGCATATCCCAGAAAAGAAGATCTATCATGAATAGAAGCTTTGCGGAACACGGAGTCGCCCATGTGCTTCCCCAGGGAGGAGCTCATGTGTCTGAAGGGTATATTTTCTCCTGTCGTGTTGATGTTTCCTTCTTAATTTATAGGATTTTTTAATGTAAAAAAATTGCACTGAACTCTATAAACGTAAATGCTGCTTTTTGTAGCTCATATAAAAAAGGTTCCATATTTGTAGTATACTGCAATAATATTTTTTACATCCAGCTCTTTAAGTGATCCTTGTTCTGGTGGCTTTGTGTAAATATGTTTGCCCTAGTTGAATTAAGAAACTTTAAAGGTTATAAAACGAAAACAAAAAATAAAGTATTTGTTTTCTGCTAGATGCAAAAATGACTAAGCATGTATATTTTATCAAACTCATGTATTTTTTGAAGTTATGAACTATAAAAATGTTAAAACAACACTTTTTGCTGGGACAAAATGCTAAGTGATTCACTGTAGGTGGTGCCCCTGACACTGGGACTTTTGAGCTGATGGACAGAAATCAGCTGGGTGTGTGAGCAGAATGTTCAGTTGTGACAGTCTTCCTCACAGGCTTTGTTTTATACAGAGAAACAGGTAGACCCCACAGAGGAGGAGGGGAAGATTCAACAGCTTTATTCTCTGGAAGCAGTGAGAATCATTGGTTGTCTGGGGGGATTCTTGGGTTTTCCTGGGTCCCTTTTCAAGCAGTCTCTTTGCCTTCCTAGTATTTAGTCCCCTCTGACAATTTTTTAAATGTGCCTTTTGGGTTGCCTTGAAACTGAAGCAGAAGTAGACTGGAGGATGATAGAGTTGGGACAGTTTTTTTGTTTTGTTTTTTTGTTTTTTTTTCTCGTTAAGAGGTGAGCACATTTTTAGATCAAATACTTTGGCTCTATAGTTTCCATGTCTTCTTCCCAGCTAAGTTTAAGTGGTGAAAGTTCCTTTTCTCTTTTCTCCGATGACATTGACCATAGTAGTTACCACCTCAGCCCCGCCCTCCCATCTTCCTGCCTTCTACCCAGGCTCTGAGCCCTAACCCACACTGACCCAAAGCTGCTGGTATTGCAGTGTAGGTAGCAGTTCACTCTGGCATTTCTCTACCTGTTCCGATGATTAGAATTGGTTGAGTGATCACCTGACAGGAAAAACAACTTGCCTTGGCCAAGGCTCTGTGTTTCTGCCTGCCTTCTCAAATTCCCAAAAGAAAAAGATTTTGAGTTTCTGAGAAGCAGGCTCTTGATTGAGCCCCCTCTCCTACCTGTTCAGTGCTCCTCGTCTGATTCAGAAGCACCACTTTTTGAATAACTAGCACTGGAAAAATGAAATAATCTGAAGTGAAGGGACTCCTTTTTCTTTTCTTTCACCCCATGTAAATATTTAAATAATACAGTATTAACATTTTTTGTGCTGCTTCCCATTAGCTTGTAGATTGAGCCATATTCTGGCCACCTCTGCCTTCCTGGGGGCAGTTATCTTTAACTTCCAGAATAGTGATTTTAAAACTTAAAAAAAAAAGAAAAAGAAAAAACAAAATAACCTATCCTTACTTACAAGCATAACAGATTGTATTTAACTTTATCACATATGATAGAGATATATATGCTGTAAAATGAGGGAAAGGAACTTTCTAATAAACCAATGATTTGTGGAAACTTAGCAGAGTCTGTCGTGATTGTTGCCCCATCCACCGAAGTTGGGAAGGGTTGAAGTGGGTTATAACCTCTTGTTTAAAGTGATCAAGGAATAGATTCTTGTGAACTCAGTAGTTTGAGATGTTTGGAATTCTGCTTCTGAAAACAGGCTGCCAGAAGAGAGGTGAGGTATGGCTATGGGAGGAAGTAATTGTAGTTTTCTCTCCATCTTAGGTAGGGACCTTGGAATGCGCACCCTTTTTTCCACTCCTTTCCCACAAAAGTTTTTCGTGTCTTTCTTCCCATTTTTTCCATGTTAGATACTCAAGGGGACTTCAAAAAGTTTGTGGGAATGGAATTAAAGTATGAGTTTATTTTGACTCAAAAAACAAATCCATGCATGTTTTGGTAATGCACATTTTCCATTAATTTTTTAAATATACCCCGTCCCCTCCCCCCCAATAATCTGTGTAGTAGAATATATGGCATGTAGATGCTCCTCACTAAATAGGTTTTGGATAGCTGGATTTGATTTTTAGGATATTGGATTAATTTAAGGGCAGTAGGTTTACAAAACTCATCTGCCTGGCTTTTGTCCTTCAGGTGTAAGGAAGGGCCTGTAGGCCAGGTTTCAGTTACTCTCCTGCCCTTTAATACCGCCACAGTGAGTGCCGCCACTTGGTACAGGGAAATAGGTTCTAATTGTTGCTGAGAAGATAAAACTCTCTACTCTTCCATTTAAAGAAAAAAAAAATCACAAAAGAGACAAGGAAAGTAGCATGGGAAGCTACCATAGGTTTGTGGTGATGAATTGACCTCCCCTCTCATCCTCATCCTTTCGAGGAGTTGTGCAATGTCAGTGTCTTTCCTATTCTCATTGATACAGCATTTTTCAACCTTCAACTAAAAAGCAGCATTTCAATTTGAACCTAGAATTGGGTGCTCAGATCTACCAGTTTTCTTAAAATAGCAAAGATCCCTGCCTAGAAGGAAAGAATGTTAGAAATTGAAAAGTGATTTTTCTGAGAGCAGGGAAGGTAATGTGAAAGAAGCAGCCTGTCCTGTGTGTGTGCTCTGTGAAGTTAGCAACCGCTGCCTTGCTCAGAGAAGGCCTCAGTCACCTCTGCGTGAAGAGGGAAGTATTTCTATACCCTTAATGGCTAATTGAGGCCTCGTCCACCATTTCCATTCTTGTTGCCAGAAATACCTTCACCTCACCCTTATCAACTCATGTCTGAATTATTGTAGCATTTTCCTGGCTGGCCTCCCTGACTAGAGTCATTCCCTGTCCTGTGTAAACTTACTGGCTTTTCGGAATCTGAGTGCAATTAATTTTGTATTCACTATCTTGCAATAAAATCATGAGAAGACAGGAACCCATCCTCTGTTTTGTTTGTTTGGACTTTTTAAACTTTTACCTCTTTAAGTATCTTACATAGACTTGAGTACATAAGAAGCATTTTGATTATATGCTCAAGAAGGATGGGCTGGCTGGTGGTGTGGTGGTTAAGGGCACTGGACCCCCACATGGCCTACTGTAGTTTGAGTCCCAGACCTGGAGGCTTACTTTCTCACTTTCCCTCTCTCTGTCTCTCACTCTGTCCCTCTCTGATCAAATTTAAATAAATAAATAAAATGTAAATAAAATAATTAAAACACCATTATGCATCAGGACTTAGCACAAAAATATTCAAAAATTATTCCATTTTTCTTCCTTTAATCATGATACAGTGCATGCACAGGAGACCCTCTATAGGATCTGGTCAGTCCAGCCCATCAGGTCTTGAGCACTACCATGTATCCCTTGCAGGCTAACCAGGTTGGAAATTCAAACCTCAGTTTCCATGTGCAGTGTATTACTTATAGGCCACAATGCAGGCTCTAAAACATTTTTTTCAATTTTTTGGGCTAGGGCCAGCAGATGGCTTAACAGTTACATCGCTGGACTCCCACATAGTTGACTGCGGTTCAAATCCCAAACCCAGTGGCTTAAAATACACCAGGTGAAAAAAAAAAAAAATACACCAGGTGCATGTACGTGTGTGCCCAAAATCCCAAGAGGAGAATGGAGGATAAGGGATTGCAGTGTAGCCATCCCCCTGGGAGGTGATTTCTTGCTTTCTGTCTCTCTGGTGAGTGCATGTGCCCTGCAGCAAAAATCTCAATTAGAAAAAAAATTATTGGGCTTGGTGGCTTCAGAAACGTGTCAGGTACATGTACATGCATGCCCAAAATCCCAACAGGAGGGAGGGATGGAGAAGAAATTGTATGTAGCCTGACCATTCTCCATGAGAGATGCTTACTCTTCCTCTCTCTCTGTCCCTGGTGAAAGCACGTGTTCTGTATTCCCCCTTAAAAAATTCTCTCTTGTCCTAGCCAGTGGTGTAGTCCGTGACAAACCATTGGTGAATTGGGAGTGCTGGAAGCCACAGGGCCATTGTGCATTTGAATCCCTGGGTGTGTACCCAAGATCCTGACAAGCTGGAGGACTGGAGAAAGGAGGTCAAGGCATGGAAATACCTTGTCAAGGTGCTTCTCTCTCCCCCTTGCACATACTCTCTATCATAAGTAAAAAAAGAACCTCCAGCCTCCACACCACCAAGCACATTAAGTAGAAGCTCTACAATTAACTAAATGAAGACTTAATTGAACTTGGATTCATTGGAAGATGAATCTAGGATGGTTGAGGAGATAGAAAAGAGGGACCAATGTGTCAGCACACCTCTGCCACACAGAAGGGAGATGACCCTTCTAACGCTAAAGGAACACAATCATAGTGAATACCACACCACTCCTCACCCTTCCCAAAGAAAATACTGACTTCACCCATCTGGGCACCAAAGTTTAGGGTTACCTTTGACACTTCCCTACCACATCCAGTTACTAATTCAGTAATCTCTGTACTCTTCTTTATCCTGGCTGCCAATACCCTGGTTCAGGCCTCATCACCTTTAACCCAGAGGAGGTATCACTACCCACCTGGTCTTTCACTAGATCCTTTCTTTTCTAGTTTCTTCTATCCATAGGCTGTTAGTGTAATCTCCCAAATTGGGATGCAGTTGATGATGGAATCTCTTATTCCCTGCGTTGCAATTTTTTTCTGGCTTTTCATCTCTGATGGATTAAAATTCACATCGTTTATGTGGCATTCAAGACCTTCCAGTGATTAGACCCAGCCTTCCCTTCTACCCTCATGCCCCACTACACCTTTTTAAGCATTCTATGTTGAGTCAACTACTTGACTTTACCTATAATTGTGTTTATGTGCTACTCTACTTGTTACTTCCTATGCCTCAAAACTCCTTCATTTTTTGACAAAAGACAACTTGAACATGGATTCAAGTGAAATCTGTGTATGAATCCTGTCAATAGTTTTTGCCATCTATTGGCTGTGTAAACTTGGACAATTTTTTTTATTTATTATCATTATTATTTTTTAATGAGAAGGAGAAGGCATGATAGAAAGTAAGAAAGCAAGCTGCCAGGTCTGGGACTCGAATCACAGCCATGTGGGAGTCAGTGCCTTTACCATACCACCTGCTGGCCCAAACTTGGACAATTTGTGTAAAACTTTCTTGTGCCAGTTTTTGTGTTTATAAAATGGGCAGAATATTACCTATTTTGTAGAGTTATTATGGGAAGCAAATTACATAAATGACTTTCTTAATTATATCTTTTTAAAGGCATGCTCCAGTTATGTTTGTGCATGTCCTTAACTCTGTACTAAATTCATTAAGAATCCTTGACAGTTACTTTGTATTTCTTATCGACTCAGTACTCCCCAAGTTATTGGGTCATCGGAAAAGTCATGACATAGTTGTATGTTTTTCATGTTTTCATGACTTTACCGATGACCCAATAGAATTTTTTTACTTTACTGTGGTACAAATGCAATAGACATTGAGTAGAAGCTACTTGGAGTATCCATACAACCATTCTGGTTTCACTTTCAGTGCAGTATTCAGTAAGCTACGTGAAATACTCAGCACTGCATTATATAATAAGCTTTGTGTTAGATGATTTTGCCCCACCGTAGGCTTATGTAAATGTTCTGAGCACACTTAAAATCGGCTAGGCTAAGTGATGATGTTCAGTGGGTTAGCTGTATTAAGTGCATTTTAATCTTAGGATATGTTTATCAGAATGTAACTCCTAAGGAGCTATACTTTAGTTGAGAAGCATCTGTACCTATTGAAAACTTCGGCAAAATGTTACTTAATATTGAATTACACAGAATACACTAGTAATACAGTACCAGTGACAGTACCACTCAGCGGACAGTGGGAGGACAGAAGGTTAGTAGAGGACTGGGTTGAGTATTCTCCTAGTAAATGTATTACATGCCTACCACGAACTTGGCATTGGGAAATTCATCAATCAAGAAGACCCAAACTTATGGGACCAGCAGATGGTGTAATGATTACATCACTGGACTCCCACATAGTTGACCACGGTTTGAGTCCCAGACCCCAGCAGCTTAAAATTCACACTGGGCGCATGTGCATGCATGCCCAAAATCCTGAGAGGAGAGTGGAGGAGAAGGGATTGTGGCATGGCCATCCCTTTTGGGGGATGATTTTTTGCTTTGTCTCTCCTGCATGCCCATGCACACTATAGTAAAAAAGATCTCTCTTAAAAAAAAAAGTGGCCCAGACTAAAGGTCAAGGAGCACTATGCTTAGTTGCTTAGTAAGGGAAAGGATTTGTAGCTGGGTGCTGAGGTGGTGAAAACAATGGTTAGGTTTGATCAGAAAACCAGTGCTGCTCCAGCAAGCCTCTTGAATCTCTGTGAGAGCCTGCTTTTTGGGGAAGGCATGGAGTGACAGTAAGACCTTGCTTTTCTGCTCAAGTCATCTCTTTCCACCCTGTTACTGCATCTTCTATCTTTTATTTAAAAGGTTATACTGCTTCTTTAACTTTATTTATTTGTTTCAGTTGAGCAGAGAGGGACAGAGTGAGAGAGAGGGAGGGAAGGAAAATGAGAAAGCAAGCCATTAAGTTCAGGACTTGAACCACGGTCAGCCGTGTGGGAGTCCAGCGGTTTCACCACACCACCTGCCAGCCCACATCTTCTGTTCTTAGTGCATGTTTCTGTTCAGTCTTTCGACAGCACCTACTACATGTTGAGCTTTTGGCTAGGCCCTGGAACTGCCGAAAAGTTTTGCTCTCAAGGGACTCATTTACACAATCCAGTGAAGAGACCATGACCAAACTATTTGATCAGTGCTGTGTTTGTTTCTGTTAGCCCAGGGTGCCAGTCTCAGGAGTCGAGGAGACTTCTAGGCAATTACTCCAACCAGCATCAAATCCTGATGGCTGGACAAAGCTGTGTCACCCTAGAAGTGAGAGCCTACCTTCAATTGAACAGCTGGTGCATAATCTCAGAGTCTGGGAGCCAGATTATCTTGGAATGACTCCACTTTATCTTCATCTTCTTGCCCCTTAGACTGAGATCCATCTCATTACCCATTCCCCAGCACTAGCTGCACTGCTGTGTCCACACTAAAATTTGACTGAAGATGGAGGGGGACTGAGATGAAGGAGGACTGCCATGTCAATACGGCTGGCTGAAGCTGTCCAAGGCCCTAGAGGGAGGAAGTGGATAAGTACCTTATCCAAAAGATGTGTCAGCCTCAGGCTTTATCAGGGAGCAACAGCTTCCTTACTCCTTCCCCAACCTCTAACCAAGTCTCAAAGTGCCACAGCAGTGCAGCCAGCTGGATGCGGGGTGAAGGCACTGTAGAACATGGGCTAGAGTGGAGTCACATGGACCAGTTAGCTCACAATTGTCCCATGCAGCACGTGATGTCTCGGGCTAGCATGCTGGTGGTGGAGTTGGGGTGAAGATTCAAGAAACATAGTTGAGAGGCAAAACCAACAGTAATTGGTGATTAACTACTCTGGAGGAGTCATAGCAATCAGCTAGAAGCATCCACCCCTCAGGGTGGCTTCACCCACTTCCTGGCCATCGTAGAGACCAAATGGTTCCCGGGGATATAGCCCTTTGTCCACTGGTCAGCTAGTGACTTTGGGATCCAGTTTGATAAGAAACAACTTCCTGTGGTAGAGACTGAAGGGATGAGAAAGAAGGCACTGGCCCAGTTCTGCCTGGGAGGTTGTGGGAGGAGAAGTATGGCCAGAGTTGTGCACCCACTGCATACCCTCTGGCTTCTGGAGTTGGTGCTGCTGCTCTTGGGACCTAGTGTTACCCCTCCAGGCTGGGCCTTGAACTTGGACCCGGTGCGGCTAACCTTCTATGCAGGCCCCAACAGCAGCCATTTTGGATTTGCATTGGATTTCCACAAGGACAGCCATGGGAGGTGAGCCCTCAGGATGTTTGGTTTTTGGGAGAGAGAAAGGTACACACATCACTGCTTCTGTGGCTCTCGAGTTCCCCATTTGTGACAGGGGCTGAGGAGGTGACTTCCAGGATCTGTTTGGGTTGAGCTCTTGTTAAAAATTCTAGGGACCTGGGACCAGCAGTTGGCGTAACGGCTGTGTCACTGGACTCCTATGTAGTCAACCACAGTTTGAGTCCCAGACCCGGTGGCTTAAACTCATGGCAGATGTGTGTGCGTGTGTGCCCAAGATCCTGAAAGGAGAATGGGGGCGAAGGGATTGTAGCGTGGCCATTTCCTCCGGGGGGGGGGGGTG